CGGAAAATTCAAGTATGCAAACTTGACAAAGATGATTTATCAGATCATAACCTAAACTGATGAAGTATCTGATCTGTAATCATCATTCAGCGTAAGAATGTTGCCAAATCTTCTTCTCACTCCAAGTTGTGGAGACTTATAGCAGTTTTTTAGACCAAAATTTTACTTGTGAATTATGAATGTATAGAGATGTAACAAACTTTTGTACAATAATGTTGAACTTCACTTGATCGGTCTTAATCAAAGATTGTTGAAGCAAAAATCAATGACAAACAAACATCGAGTTAATAGAAATTGAGAGAATTGAGTTTTACAAGTTGAATCAAATGTGGCAAAATCAGATGAGTTTGTAAAATTTGCATTGTGTCGTTATCAAATACATTTGAAAGATTTTCCAATATTATAATTTGCTTTTTCCAAATAATAGAATCAGTGTTAACGTCTTGTAACACAACATACTTCTTGTTAAAAGTTCAAACTTCTCATGATCACACAACACATAAATTGTACTAAATTTCTTATGATAATACCTACATGCATTATCCTTTGCTTTCCGCAACTCGTACTCCAAAACGTCTAGCAATTTCAAAGCTTGCAATTGATTGCAAAGACAATTGAACATGCATAAAATATAAAAATAATAATTTCACAACTAGTTTAATGAACACATGTCAATTACAAGCTATAAATAAAATCCCCCTCACTCCTTGTTCAATTTTCACTCTTATGATACACTCGTGAATGATGTGAAAAACCAGAGGCTCTCGAGTACGCTCTCCTTTTCCTCGCGGACGAGCTCGGGTTAGCAGCTGGGTTTGAGGGGAAGCGTGCTTTGACGCACAATCAGTTGTTTGTATGTAGCGGGTGTGGCCCTAATCGGGCACTTTGATAAAATGTTTAAGTGAATGAAAACATAAACGGGACACCATGATCATAACCGAGATTTGCTTACCTTTAAGATGGGTTTGACCAACATAATAGCGAGTATTCTTATTGAAAGATAGCAGATTGATAGATGATAATATTCTGCTCTGGTTGGTCTCCAATGTAATGTAGCATAACCGAACAGAACTGAATAATAAAATTAAAAGTTTCAACCACATGTTCAAGTGGCAACACATGCTTTATGTAATTTTTTTTTCTTAAAATATACCTTTCAACTATGTTAACAAGATGCGAAAATGACCTCTTCTAGGAAAAGAGGTTCTCGTCAAAGGTCGACAGCCATTGAATTAACTGTAACTAACGCAATTGCCAACATGTGGATAAGTGTTCAGACTTTGATGTGAAGAGTTGTTGGAATGCCTTTCTCTGATCAAAGTATTTCTTTCATGCAGGCGCAAGTAAAGAATCCGTGCAAAATCATGCCCTGCCATCGTATCACAGTAACATTGATTTATTTATTCGGTGTCATAAATTCAATGTACGATATTAAATAAATATGTGAATGTTACTATGTGAATGCTGTTCTCGATCATGTGAAAAAGCAGAGAGAGAGGACAAATCCTTATCGCGAGGCTCATTACTGCACAACGAGATCCGAGAGCAACTCATGCACAGAATATCAAAATCCTTCATGAAAATCATATATAGTGGCGTTTTTGTGTCGTCAATATATTTTTCGTCCATGTGTCGACCAACCCCATGCTGGGGGTTAAAAAAGCATTACTCACTCGCATGGCCAGACCAGTATCACTTTGTTGGAGACACAGTGCAAGGGAATGGCCAAACATCACGGCTGAGATATTGCTCCTCTTCAACCGAGGGCTCTTGCAACGAGAGATGACGGTAGTGTCAGCTGCTGGGAGGAAATGGTAGGACCGCAGGGCCTGTGAGTGATGCCATGCTCCCGGCGGACCCCGCAGATCTGGCGCTGACCAGTTCAACGTTGACCCCACCCGGTTTCCAAGGAGCAGTCCCCGCACAGACCAGCGGTCTTCTCCTTGCCCCTGTTGAGTCAAACGGGTCCGGAACAAATCCGCACCTTTTGGCTCTTACCACGGCCCCTCGTCCGATCATCCTACCCGTTTTCCAACGAGGTGGGGTGGAGTAAAGCAACTGCACCGAGGCCAACGAACTGCGTTCCACAGACTCCGCCCACCAACCGGATCCTACTCGGTACGAGGATCGGTGAGAAGTTCACTGGACGAACCCGTCGAACCCGCCGGGACTCCGGCGTCCCAGATCCAAACCCAGGCTTCAAGCCTGGATCCGTTGAGCTCACCGAGAACTCTACCGACTCACGATCCGTGGGGCCCGCGTTCCCCGATGACTGGATGACCGGGTCATCTTCAAGCCCTCGGTCTCTTGCTCTCGGTCTCTGTAACCCGGGCCAGGGCCGAGTTCTCTCGGCAGACTTGCACGATCACAAAGTGGGCACCGCGATTAGCAATGTGCGATTGGATTCGCTATTTTAGTCAAACGACTGTCCGCCCGTCACGATGTGTGCTGCGATGGGCCCCTTCGCAGCTCTAGAACAATGATAAACGTAATTATTCGATCCAGTTTCTTTTCATGAATGACGTGAATTCACTTTTTCTTAAAAAATGATTAGGATCGTGAAGATATATCCTTGTCCCAGCATCTGATTTATGCCATATCTACTTTTCTTCTCGTTAGTACCTGGATGTACAGAAAGGACGAAGTTGAGGTCGGGGAGTTGGGTTCAGAGGAACTCGAGTTGCCCAAAGCACCGGGCCACGGGCAAAGGTCCATTTTAAGTCCTGCACGTACCAATTTGTGTTCATGATTTCGAGGGCAGATTTAGTAAGTTTTCGGTGTCGCGAGCGGACCGAGGCCTTTGTTCCTTCCCATTTATTGAGGAGAATCAATCTGAAGAAAGACATTCCATGTGTTGCCTCGGACTTGCACTATGCGCAGATGATTTGCATGTCGACGGAGGAATCCATCGACGCCTCTGCTGTAGATGCGAAGAATCTTTTCGCCTCGATTCGGTCACCTGTTTTAGGTGGTTCGTCAATTCCATTATCCACTTCGAGCTCTTTTGACTCGGGGAAAATAAAAGTAGGAAACTACTTCCCAACACAATTACACTACTTGACCCAGCCCGTATCGTTCTACCCTAAATGGGATATCACCGAGTGCATAGCTTCAACTATTTTGTAATATCGAACGAATGTCTAGGAACGGTGTTTAGAGTGAGGGGAGCGAGACAACCCTAGAGGGAGGAAGGGGCGAAGGCGCGAAGGGAATCATGGGATGAATCCAAGATGTGATTTTGAGGTCAAAATAGTTTAGGGGGAAGTGGTTGTTCGAGACTCCAAAAATTACCAATGGGACATAATCTCAAATCGATAGCATAAAGAATGTGTGACGCATTTATATCTCTACTGCACCTAGGATAGCATTGCAGTAAAATGGTATAGAAATACCACCAGAGAGTGCAGAGTGAAAGATTAAAAGCACCTCTCTGGGGTTATATTACTCTTAAGCCTCATGCATGTGTGCACTTCCTTTATTTTTTAATAACCCACCACCCACTCTGTTACAAACATGTGAAAATTGACATCTATTTGAGGATAGAGAGATAGCCCTCGGAGCAGTTCATTACAGATGGTCGCTGATCACATTTCCATTTGATTGGTGGCTCATATTGTCGTCAATTTTCAACGCTTCTATCGAAATCAAGAAAGGGAACAAGAAGGCGCAGACATGCAGAGAACCACAAACTCGAGCATCAACTTTCTGCGAGTTTGCGAGTGGGAAGTTCTCATTTAATCACCAAATTGCTGCCGGGCATGTCGTCGACAGATCTGTGGCTTGGATTTTCGGGTACAACCGAAGCAGCTGTTGCAGGTGGCCGCTGACCGCGTTGTCCGCTTCGTATATGGGTCACTCTTCCCAGTCAATGGACAACTTTTGAGACTGAAGTTTCTCTCGTGATCGCACTTCCTCTTCACTTTTGGCGAGTCAACCAAAAGCTATGATTTCCAGTTCTTTAGCCTACACGTGCAATGTCCATACACCTAGCGTACTTCCGTGAAAATCTGTGCACGAGGAGAGCAGGTCTGACATTTGAACTCCACACTTCGACCTCTTGTGGCTGTCTACATTGATACTTTCCTGGAACTACCTTTCCACACCAACCATACCCGTAATGAAAAACAAAACATCTCGACACTCTTTGCAATTTTCAAGGCGCCCAACAAATGCCAGAGAAAAGAGCAAAGTGCCTCGCAAAAGCTCCCGCTGGCCTCCATTTTGCCTCACCGAGATTGAACAGCTCAGAACAGAACTGACCGCAAGATCGCAAGGAAGGAAATGTCGGCATTTTCAGAGGCGCCCATCTACATCGCGATCTTGCGAGGAAGAAACTAATCTCATATGCGAGGAAGAACCAAATCCTTCCCGTGCGTCGGAACAATGGCCACTCTATGCCCTCGGGCCGAGACGATCTCCGACTCGCTTCCGTGGGCCAAACGCTTTCTGTCTCTCTCTCCGGCGAATGAACGGACGGCAAGCAGGCAGAGATCCGACGTCCGCCGAGGCCGAAGGAATCAAAGGCCCGTCGGGGCCAGGGAAGCGGCTAAAGCGCGGGTGCGAAAGCCGTGACGAAAAGCCCCAGCATGCGACAAATGACGGGCTCTTCGCAGCGACGGCGCACGGGCGCGGGTGGGGGAGCGGGGTCTACTCCGCGCACGTTTTCTTCACCGCTCGAGTGGGTGGTGAGATTACCGGTTGGTGGGGGTGGGGTGGAGGAAACAGAGTCGCGGAGGAGGGTGGGAGTGGGGAGTGGGGACCGAGAGGACCGCGGACCGAAGCGGAGTCCGGCGAGACTGCAGGTGCTGACCCGCACTGACTGAATGACTGACCGACCGACTGACTGACTGACTGACGGACCCAGGGCAGAGTGACCGGAGCAGCGTCGGCCCAGCGCTGGGGGCGAGTGAATGATATCGGTTGGCATGACTTTAATATCCCGGGTGCCACTGTGGGAGGCCGACGGGCGAGGCCGCTCTCGTGAGCACTGGGCGGGCAGGGAGGCAGACCGCAGAGGACTGGTCGCGGTGAAGAGGGACCGAGGGACTGAGAGGGAGGGAGACTTTTAAGCGGACCGGGTAAGCAGATCGAATGGTGCTGTTGTATGTCGAAGCCACACGAAGGACGACGAGGAGCTGCAGCAGCAGCCTCTGCTTCGAAACAACGACAGCAGCAAGAAGAAAGTGTCGGTCGTGTAGGCCTTGTAGAGATTGATCGGATGTTGTGAATCGAGGGAGGCAGGGAGGGGGATTGAGAGAAATAGGGAGAGTGGAAGAGGGAGGGAGGGAGCGAGAGGAGAGGAAGTATGGCGAGCGCTGGGCTTTTGTCGCCCGTCGTGGCCGTGTTGATTCTGGCAGGGGCAGTTTTCCTGGCGCTCGATCCACTGCAGCTGAGCCCAATCGCTTTCGAGAAGGACTTCAAAGTGCTCTCCGTCCCTCAGCCGACGTTGCAGCTGTTGGCCCAAATTCCTCGCGATGAGAAGAACACCCTGAAGAACGCGGAAATTGTCTATGGTGGGCAAATTTTTGGCCCCGAGAGTGTGTTGTTTGATTCTCAGGGCAGAGGGCCTTACACCGGCGTTGGCGACGGCCGTGTGGTCAGATGGGAAGGTTCCGAGAAGGGATGGGTCGAGTTCGCCACCGTCATTGCCAACAGGTTTGCTCCCGTCTGCATTTGCATTCTTATGCAGCGTGCATGCAATTCTGGGCCGCGAGTCATGCACCAGACATGCCACCTCCGAAATTAAGCTTGCACCGAGCTCGGTTGTGTATATCTGTTCGATGAAAGCCATCCTTGTGTATGCGTTGTTTGAACCCAAAGATTTGCACTTTCTTTCAGTGTTGTACTAGTCGAGCAGACAATCCACAGTAAGCCGTCCCTTCCAGCCTCGTTTCCTCGGGTGGATGCTGATACTGAGAGACTTACAGGACATACAGTATGAGGCAGTCAGTGAAATTAATACAACCATAGCGGTTTTTATGCGTGGGTCTGTGTTTGTATTTCCGGGCTTTATCAGTCACCCATAAGGGCCGTGGTTACAGATTGTACTCTTTTGTCGTGCATCATTTCGTTGAAATGTCCTGCATTTGTTTGCCTTTTCTACATCTGTGCACTCCTCTCTTTTGGGATGGCTCTGTGCATTCTTCATTCCATGAGCTGATAGGACCATGTACTTTGTTTGCAATCTTCTGCTGCTTGGTTACGGTGCGATTTTGGACACCAACACTATTGACGGAACGTCTTTGTTCCGGAATGTCAGTGCTTCCTTTTACCTGGCTCCGAGTGGCCTTCCTCTTTGTCGGAGTGGTAGGATCAGTCTGTGTTCCTTTGACGACGCTGACTCCTTGGAAGGCATCGATAGGAAGAGAATCTGATTTGATTCTTTTTTCCGTAGTTTATGCTGGGATTGATGTATTCTTTCCAGATGTGAATCTGAGCTCGAAGCTTTGTACGACTGCATCCATATAACTAAATGTGAAGTTTCCTTTTGTCTTTTGCATGTAGCGAAGTTCTGACCTCTGGCTTTGAATCTTATGCTGACAGCATCGACGGATGTGTCATTGATTGGAATACCTTGCAGCAGACTTGTGTTGATGTTGAAAGCCCACTTCTCATATGCCCGTATTGTTTTCGGAGACAAAGTTTGACTGCTCACGTTGTACGGCTTGAACATTTGCATTTAGATCCACTGTCCATGTGTTTCATCGCTTTCGTCAAATCCCGCGCCAGGAACGAATTCCAATCAAGCTGCTTGCATTTGTGCTATCAAAATTAGACAGTGTATGGCTCAGTTGACTACCTTCCATCTTACATTCAGGCTGCATTTCCTACTTTCTCGGCATAAGTTTCGAATTTGAGATAGTGCCTGAAGGCTGCCGGAATTCCCTCAAGCTATATACTCGTCTGATCCTTAACGTTCGGTTTGTAAAACTAGGACGGAGGTCTGCAATCCGACGACGCCACTTGCTGCCAATCTAAAATATGAGCATTTGTGTGGGCGGCCACTCGGTATACGTTTCAACAAGGATGGTGATCTTTACATATGTGATGCCTACTTCGGGCTCTTAAAGGTTGGGGCCGAAGGAGGTTTAGCAGAAGTTTTAGTAAGCGAGGCTGAAGGTCAGAAGATCATATTTGCCAACGACTTGGACATTGACGACGATGGAACCGTTTACTTCACAGACAGCAGTTCCAAGTACCCTCGCAGGTGAAAATTCACAATGCATCTCATTTAAGTGATTTGATGTCTCCGTTGTGTTTTGTCCACCTGATGTTCTGGACACGGGAAGAAACTTGGTGAATATGTAGAATTGTTTCGATTTTTCAAGAAAGGCATCGTGTATGGAGGGCAAGGGAGAAATGTAAAGTCTATTGTTGAGGCATGACATTCTTGAGGCTGAGACTTTTACATCCGGGGGTTGGGGTTTGCAGTAAATTTTTCCACTCAATATTGGAAGCAGAGGAGACAGGACGATTTTTGAAGTATGACCCTAAAACGAAGGAGACCACGGTACTTGTGAAGAAACTTAGATTCCCTAACGGTGTCACCTTCAGCAAGGATAAATCATTTATAATCATCGCCGAGACCCGACTTGGAAGGTGAGATCTTCAGACAGTTACAGCAATACCTCGATGATGCTTCTCCCTTTAAAATTCACTTTTCCCTCCTTTAAAATTCAACAAAAGTTCCAGTCGTGTCGATTTAGCTTGAAGGACGTTCCAGAGACTTGTGTGATGAGAAGAGTTGGCGATGAAAGGAAGAAATTGAGAAGGATCTGGGAAAGTCATCAGCTGTTTTCCCCAAAAGTAGTTACCAAGCGCTGGTCTTTTGTGCTTTTTAAGCTGAATTCTACCTTGTCATATACCAGCGGCGATTCAACAGCTCATCTAGCGATAGAGGATTAGGTTTCGAAGATGGTTTTGTGGAATGATACATTGAGTTAGTCAAGATTAAGTTTTCAAGTTCCAAAAGTAACAAAGCAGACCTGATGTTTTGAAGGCAGAATGGCATGCGCTTATTCTGCAGTAGCTAACATATAATTTCCGGACTCAAAACATCTTGCAGGTTGCTCCGCTATTGGGTGAAGGGACCGAAAGCAGGTACTGTCGAAGATTTCGTGTGGCTTCCTGGATATCCAGACAACGTTCGTACCAACAAGGATGGTGATTTCTGGGTGGCACTCCACTGCAGGAGGATCAGCTTTGATAGGTTCATGAACAGTTACCCTAAGGTCAAGCAAGCCTTGTTGAAGCTTCCCATCAGCATGAAATTTCTCTATGGTATGTTCAGTGGCAAACCTCATGCCACTGCTCTCAAGTACAGTCCCGAGGGTAAGCTCTTGCAAGTGGTAGAGGATTTGAAGGGTGAGACCGTTAGATTGATCAGCGAAGTGGAAGAACATGATGGTAAACTCTGGTTTGGATCTGTGCTTCTGGACCACGTGGCGGTCATCTCCGCCCCTTGAGGTTCTTGATTCAAGGTTTTGAGGCTCACTTTTCCTCCTTGCACCAATCACCCTCTCTCAGCATTCGGGAAACTGCAAGCTTCTGAACCACAGTTCTACCCCGATTAAACAAGCACTCTACATCTTTCTTGAGCTGCTACTTGTGAGTAAGTAGGGATACAATGTGGTTCTCTACAAAACCCAGGGCGTACAACCCTCTGTTTATATTATGATGTACCTGAGAGAGTAACTCACCTTGCCATGTAGTTTACTTAGTTCAGTGTTTATGGAAGACCCCTTAGATTTTTCATCCTTCCATGTCCATTTAATGAAGAATTGTGCAGGTGTACTTTCGTCAATCAAACGTCATTGGAAGACATATTTTATCATCAACACTTCATCTGGATCTTTTGTATTACGTGACGGGATGAATTGTTGTCATGGATGCTTGGATTGACCTCCTGCACAGCTTAATTTCGAGATCAGCCTGCTTGGTGACAGCGATGCTCGGAATAATCTTCAGTGGCTTCTCTTCGTGGATTTCACAATTCAACCAGAGTCGTCGATGTCGATGACATCGTGGACTCGTGCAATCATTGTTCCTGGACACAATTCATCTGGTGCTGCCAACTCTACACCAACATATATTTTTCAACACGGCTCCTATATCCACAGCAGTGCAGGCAACATTACTATCTGCTGTTGTCGGCATCACACTTCCGTTAAATGCAAACCTCCGCGTGCCTCATGAGCCCACGCACCTCTGTGATCGGACATACTTGTATAATGAAGCTCAGCTACGGACGTCTTGATTCCTTAAAAATGAACGTACTGGTTAAAATTCTACATTCTCCACCTGACGCACTATCTGATTTAGGAGTGTATGACTGTCACAGATGATTCCGCGTGGGCACATTTCATATATGTACACGTAGGCGGTCATCATAAGTTGTGCAACGTAACAACGGGGAGCTTTTGATTTAAATGTTGAACATCAACACAAAGATTCTGCTTACTTACTGCGAACCAACATCTTTGTGCAGACATTATCAAATCAACACCTTAGGCCTCCGATAATCTGCAACCTGGAACATTGAAGTATTACTTACAACCCTTAAAAGTCAAACCCTGAGAGTTGCTGCCGGTCAAAAGAACAGGATAAATGTAGCATTGCAGATTTTTTCGATGTATGAAACTCAACCACTTATACCGTTGTCACTGCTAACTGTCCTAATTGGAAATCTTTTGTAATTGCAATAGTTCTCATATGCAAAGAGCTAAATTACTGATGAAAGCTCAACGTCCGCAACCTCTGCAAGTGCCATGTTTAGATAAAAAAAATGTCCCAACTGATGTAACTTCATCCTAGTTTTGTAGGTTCGAGTGGGGAAGAAATCTTTTAGAAGCTAGAGCCCAATTCAGTTAATTGATTCTAAACAATTCAATTTTCTTAGTCAAGATTTTTATTTCTTCGTAATCCTCCTCTTTACATATTTTGAAGACTAATCAATGAAACATAGCTTGAAGATAAATATGGTGGTTTGTACAACGCGTGTTGGGTGTCAATGATCATGGATCCAAAAAAATATTATCGATATGCTTTAATTATCCTCATTTATCACATATTCGCTACAATGATGCCCACTATTTTGCAACATACAATCCATATCAAATGACTTTACTAACAAAATTAACTTCATGAATAATGTTTCACTTTTGAATGAAAAAAATATTTTCTTTGACATCTTCGTAACATGAAAATGCGACTTTTGCACTCATCGCAATAAATAATCCCGACGTATTAGGGATATATATAAAAATGTAACGGGGCTAACCATTCCCCATTTCCATCTCCATAGGACTCGACGGGGTACTCCCGCAAATTTGCTACATAACTTGGGCTCCTTTTCAGAAGATGATATTTCGAAAACGCAAGGCCTGAAGTGCGTTTATACCGCATCAGTCGGCCGTCGCCTTTCACCCGTTACCCGTCCCCTGTCCATTGACACCGAGTCACAAATACAAACAACAAGCGCTCGCGAGCGGGAACTGGGCAGGAGTGAAAAAACAAGCCTCGGATGAAATCCGTACCACTGGCAGTTACATTGAGGCGCGTGGGCAGCGATGGAAAAGGAGCTGCTCGTAGTGAAACTGATTCTTCGAGTCCTCACGTATTCTTTCAAACTTTCGAACCGTGTGCTCTTTGGCCTCCCGGGCCTGCACGAGCCTGCATCTTCTCTCGGGTGCGCTTTCAGTCTCGTTCGACGTCTTTCTGCTCGATCGAGTCGACACCATGCCAGAGACAACTCTTGAATTCGCTCCAATGTTCCATGCCAGCCGGGTTATTTCGCCTTTAAAAGGCTCCAAACTCCCAGAATCTGTTTGCAATTTTAGGCGAGTTGGAAGCTTGGATCCCTGAACTGGACAATCTCATTTAGTTTGGCAGGTTCTGGGCATGTGCATGTCGTATGCTCAACTCTGTGGCATACACTCTGTTCAAGAGCATGGTCCGTTTTGGTATCACCGTCGATTGCAAAGGCTGCATTCTTAACACAACGATGAGTATGAGTATTTTTTAGAGATCTTTGTTTTGGGGTGAGGGAGTGATCATATTCATAGAGCCACTCAATGGAAACAGGTCGATTATCTAAACTCTAACTTGGCTCCGGGTGAAGCTACTCTTTTATTTCATATCCTTTTGTACTTATGATATGTTGTGGGGTATTTCATACCTCTCAAGATACGTCTTCATCTTATATGTGTAATGGCCCCGTCTATCATAAAGGTTTGTTGCTTTTTTGGCTCTACAATATTAGGTTTCAACATATCAGTACATTTGTTTTCAACACCTTCTACCGACGTTTACGCAACCTCCCAGAATGGAAGGTGTCGCTAATTTCATGTCCGGTGCTGACTTTAAATACCGTAGAGAAAAAAGAGGTCTATAAGAGAGCAACCCAATCTTGAGATCAGCTTTTCATCAGTAGCGAAGATGAATGGAAATTTGAGAGCCAACGATTATCCGGATGTCGAACGTTCATAGATGAACCGAAGACTTTTGCCCACGTTCGATCTGAAAGAGATATTCCATTATTTAACTAAAAGTTACGCTGTTATTCATAACAGTCTGTTGTCAGTCAAAAAGCATCTTTGTTGTCAATGATGCATAAGATGTGGGAACATCATCAATGTCACAGAGATCATGAGCGGACCACATTTCGACTGTGTACTGTAGTCATATCATAATCGAAATGTAAAAATGATACAATACTCTTTCATCTCGAAACTTCGATGAACTTCTCCGTGTAAATCCTTAATTCTCAATCATCTCAACCAGCTCCATTACGTGCAACAAGTTGTGAGTTCACCGACTCTCTGTGGCCTTGGACCTAGGGTCTAGGAGAGAGACTCTAGCTCTACCACATGCTGGGAGGGCCTGTGACAAGAAAGTTTATTCATCATGAATCGGCATCGCTTAAGATCATGAGACGAGAGGTCTATTTGACATGTGATAGGTACTTGTCCTCGTTCATAACATGTCAATAGGAAAATCGTTTAAATGTCTACGGATGTTGTCGCCTTTGCCCTTAGAAGAAAATTGCAGGTGCTTTCTGAATTCACAATGCCTCTGCAGTAAATTGTGGAGCACCAGGCAGCTTCTACAATCTCTGATAATAAATCTTGGTGACGTTGCAGAAGAGAGGATGTCAGCTCAGACGAAAGACAAGAATTTTGCCTGAGGGCATTGTATGTACAGCAGAAAGAAAGACGAAGAGCGTAGGGCACTAGATTTCAATCTCAAAGCTTGTTACAAAGCCATTCTTTGACAACATTCACATGCCGAGAAGTTCGATGTGATATCTGAGAGATAGGAAACGATTGTACAAAATTGTCTGCATGTATGTCCAGAGGCATACCTGACTGCGTTGCCTTGCCAGGCTCTTGCACAATGCCACCTCCTTCGCGCAGTATGAACAAACACCTGATGCTCATGCAGGCATAGTCTTTGGCTCATGTCTCATGGCTTTGGAGAACTCTCAATATCACCATCATCAATCGAGAATAGATTTTTGAGAAAAGTGCATCATGCATGTCAAGGACGAAGAGTAGCTCACCAATCTTCGTGCACAACAGTACGTACAATAATTTCCTGTCGAACCTGTATTCTCCACACAGATGGTTCGATGCGGTATATGTATTGGTATATGTACTTGGCGCGAGATGATTTTCTACTGTCATGCCATGCAATAGTTCAGCTTGGTTCTGAGATTATAACGTTTCCTCTACGTTGACAGTGTCAGGTTTGTTGATGTGCATTGGTAGGTTTTGTAGAGTCTCTCCTATGTTTATGGGATACGCATGCTTCCTTCTTGTAATGGATAAATCTGTCTGACTTTGACTCTATCTGACCTTCTCGCAGTTTATATTCTAGAAGGCTCGACAGCTCATCTGGACAAGTGTTTATGTCAAAACATGTACGACATGTCGACCACAATCCACGTCCTTTCAAGCATGCATGAACATACTGGAAGGCGACACAGATCATCATCGGAATAGAGGTACTAGTACGTGTGTCTTAGTTGCAATGAACATGGCAGTGATGTCACGGCAAGTTTCGCCTCCGTGTTTTCGGAAACATGGTTTTAGCACTTCAGAGCATTGGTCTGCGAAAACATTTTCAACTTGATGTCAGATCTCTTCGTGGGGCTTGAACGATAGTCTTTCAGGTCGTCGATAGTCAAGCTTCAGCTTGGACCTAAATCTGTCGCTCAAGCAGGTGAGACCTACACGCTAAATTCAACCGGGAAAACAGAGATTACACGAGCTTCATATTGATAATGTGAGCTTGCTGGCTGCCATGGAATAAGCTGACCTTGAGACTGACCATTTACTTGCTTCTAAGGTCGGTGGATAAATAAGGTTAAGGAGATAACTTGTCTTTGATTAGTTTAGTTTGAACTTTTGTATTTAGAATGGTGGAGTCGCATGCATTCGCATATAACAAAAGGGTTTCTTTTCTAACAAGAGTTATTGAAAGCAGAGTTAAGAAGCATTATACAACTGACATTTGAGTGAGTAATATTATATGGTATCGCTGTTAGTTCTTAAATATAGTTATATCGTGCAGTTTTCTTCTTCAATTGGAGCGTGTAAAGACTACTCTAACACTGATAATCATAACTGTTAAATTATCCTAATTGTCAAAGAGAAAGAACTTTAGGCTGAGAGTAATGGCGATATTCCAGTCTAGAAGGGAGTGAGTGCATCATGAGGCCTTTATATGTAGCATTAGGCTTTCTCCTCGCTCACGCTCAGAATAATTTGACCGGAGAGCGATGGGGTTCTTTTGCTTGAGACGGGAGGAAATGAGACGAGTGATAATCAGAAAGGTCCCAATTTGCATCCGCGGAGTGTAGACTCCATATCTTTAAAGAACAGGAATCAAATTGAAGTCTAAATAGTTTCTCGGGTGGGAAGAATTGTTGTTGTCTGTCACGAATAAAACAGTTTTCATCAAGAACAGTTTTTATGTAGTAGTAACATTAGTGGATAGATGCTCATGTGCATTATCAGACATAGTGGTTATAGTGGATTGTGAGCTTAGCGTTCTCACTACACCTCTAGATCTCCTAGAGCTCATGGGGAAAAGTTTCAATTAGGGTTGGTGAAGATTCAGTTTTCGAACTTGACACTTGGAATATATAGTTGTGGTGGAATGTGACAAGCGGAGTAACGAGGATTCTTTAAATCATAAAGTGGGTTTCGATCTACTAAAATCTACCGGTAGAGTTATGTTGGTGTATGATAGGTTATATATTGTGATACTTTACGTTAAAAGGATGTATATTTTGGGAGTGGCTAGTTATATCTCAATTTAGTCTAATTATCCCTAACCCTACTTTACTCTACACAAGAGAGTTTTGTGATGAGTAATCTAAAAGAAAATGTGTGGATAGATGCTACGTCCAAAATATGAACTTCTTCTTGAGTTGGTGGAAAAGTTATGGGAATAGAAACAGCGGCATTACGAGCACAAGCAGGAACTTGAATCTCATGTAGTTCTGTATTGCATGATCTAACATTATGTCCCAATTGCTCGCAGCGACCACGACGCTATTGTTGTTGTTGTCGAACCTCAACGTGCTCAAACACGGAAGGCAGTCTGCATGTTGAACCGGTAAGTTGGCCGTGCATTGGTGTGCTCTCAAGCTTTTGTATCTCAACCGCATGTATTGCTTTGACATGATCAAGCAACACGCTTTGGTGGTGTGGAGTTGCGTGGGCATATTCATCAACTATTGTCCGCAGCGAAGCATCCACAGTCGCCGCTGGCTCAAATTGTGGAACATGCGTATGCTGTATCAATCACCAATGCTCATCAAACTCGTCCACCTACAAAGTTAGCTTATGACCATGGAATGTGTGCTTACAGGGAATGTCCATTGTTGATGAGAAAATGCGTTGACACTCATGTTGTAAAACTAGTGATGGACTGATCATTTGTACTTCTTGTATGTTTGTTTCAATCCTTCGACTAAAATTTTGCTAAAAAATATTGCAAAACACAGGCTCAAGTTGCATTTCCGCAATTATGATGTCGTGGAGTTTGAAATTACAATGTAGTTAGTGTTTTGTGTGAGTATAAATTAGGGAAAAAAACCATAAATAGTGTGGGTACTATGTGTCTTTACTGTAACTAGAGTTGAGTGTAGTACGTACTTCCAAGTTGTATTACAAACTTGTACTATGTGTTGTATTAGAGGTGAGTATACTACATACTTTCAAGTTGTACTACAAACTTATACTACGTGAGTTGAGTGTACTATGTACTTCCAAGTTGTACAACAATTATACAACTCACGTACTACATTTTACTTTTGAAATTTTTCTTGTAAAGCTATGTGCTAAAAAATGGGCGGCTCATTCCACTCAGTCCCAACTTTGCGTTTTCACAAGTTGACGGCTCAAGGTTTTTCACGTGTCTTTTAGGTTTTGTATGTGTTTTGATATTTCTTTGTTTTTCTAAGTGACTTGACATTGAATGTTGCGAGATTTGATAGAGAAGACAAAAGTAGTTAGTAGGGAAATTGCTCTATTTCCCCAAACAATATTTGATAGAAAAATGGTCTTAGTAATAGAAATTTTTTTTTTCAAAGTATTCCAAAAAGTTTTATTGATTGTAGAACAAAAGATGATGTATGTTAAGCTTTTTGTTTCAAGTCTAGATTGTATGTACATAAAAAGTTATGAGTGTTGGAAGTTAAGGGGAAAAAAAAATCAAAAGTTTGCTTTCGGACAAATTTCTACAGAATGAATTATTTTTTTTCCCTATTTTGTTTTATCATTCAAATTTTTTATGAATGTGTATTGAATGATAACCTATATGTGAATCTAAAAATCATTGAGAGAGAAAGTTATGTTGTTTTGAAGTTTACAAGGTGAAACATCAATGAAAGAGATCAAAATTTTTCGATGTCTTTATTTGTAGTTTTCTTCAAGTAAAGAGCATTTTTTTGGTATAAAATTTTGGACTATATTCACCTTATGGAATCGCCGTATTGGTGTGATGGATTTTTGTTGCTAGCAGCTATAGGCCTGGAGCTTTCTTCAACAATTCTTTTCTCCCATACAGCGTGCTCTCTTGCATTTTGCTAGAGAATTATCACAAATTGGACATTACATGCAAGGTGTAACTATAAAACTGTGTTTTATGACATTCGATTTGTGGGTTGTATAATACATATAATACATATATAATACATTTTTTTAATACAATGAACAAACTTGAGCTGAATTTACTGCTGGGGGAGCATCAGGAGACCTTGGTCCAAAATCTCGTCGATATCAAACAACATTTGGTCATCGATGATGGTAGTCCAAGTCTTTCTTCTAAACATCTTCTTCATCACACTCCTGTTTATCGTTCATTTCGTCAATCTGGACCACATCAACACCGAGCTTCTTCAACCATAGAACGAATGGACCGTTGCGTTTGATACTCGCGCGTCGTGTAAGCTGTTGTGCATTGAACACAATGACCGTGCCGGCCTCCACCTTGCCCGCTGCAAGTCGATATCGATTGCGCAAATGTACTCGTTTGGCGGACTTCGAATTGCGCTCAACAGCGCTGGCTTTGGTCGGCATCTTGTGAATGGCCAAGAGCGGCTTCTTCAGATGTGAGTACAACAAGTCGTCAGCCAACGCTCACATGTGTTGCAGCATAGAGAATATGTCGGTGAAATTGTCGTCATTGTTTACGATATGGAAGGTGTGGAGGTCAAACTCGGACTGCATTGTTTTGTTAAGCATGACGTCAGCAGCGACTATACTCTTGATTTCCGTTTTGCGTTGTTGCAGGATGGTCAAGTCGTTCAAATTGAGGAAAGTCTTCTTGTGCAGCTTGGATAAATTATCGCGTAGGTCGTCGAATAGAGGGTTTGTGCGGAAAGCCAAAGTGTGCGCTGGTGAGAAGATCGTCTTGATGCAATGGCAAATCATCGCATACATTTTGTCGATATCTACACTGCTAAGCTCTTACATCTGGCGGCAGCGTGCGAAAGTGATGTGCAACGGCCAGAAAGCAGGCGTAAACGCTTGAAAATGTCGACTCGTCAGCCTCCAAGTACGTCAGACAAGAGCATATAGTACCGAATAACACTTCCACGCTATGACTCCCGTCCAAAAAGCTGCCGACAAGATCAGATGCCTCAGGTCATTAGGAAGATCAACATTGAGATCGTTCGACATGATTTCGATTGGCAGCTGGCATATTGTCGTTCGCATCCAATTCAGGCGCTTAGCGGCTTCTCGGACCGTTACTTAGCACGTTTTCGTAAACAAGATAAGCACGAGCGTGCTCCCATACTTCTCTAAGCATATTTTATCAAATAGCTGCTGCACGAGATGCGTCTTTTTGACGCTTTTTCAAAGAAAAACAAACTACTTGACAACGAGCTTTACAATCGGGAATTCTTTCACCAAATCCATGCACAGATTGTGCAACGCATGCGGTGAGCAGCCAAATGCACACAAAAACTCTATGTCTTGGATACAAAGGCGACGTAGTTTGATCATGATTAACGGTGAATTAGAGTAGAACTTGAACATCGGCGCCCCCACAAAATGCTCGTTCAACGTGTCATCCTGATGTAGATCGGCATCGTTTTTACGATCATTAGAAGTGACTGCGTGGTCAACAAAGCCAAGTGCAAGTTTGCAAATCGTAAGTAGCAGGAGGCGTTTGTAGTTGATCAGCTTTTTGTACAGGTTTTCAGCACTCTCCCGACGAAGCTCCATTGAGAAATGTTCCAAGAAAAAAGCCATCGGCCCGCACGCCACAATGTTTATGATCTACTTGCCCTGAACGTTTGTGATGCCCTCCAGGGTCAGGCAGATCATGACGAACTGCTTCAGGTTGCGCATAACTTCAACCATAACGTTCTCGTACTCTAAACGCAACAGGTAGCCGCCTATCGATTATGTGGAAGGTGGGATGGAGAGCATGGAAAAAGTCTTGCCACGTATTACGCTCGAAGGCCTTAAACGACATCGCTGTTTGATGAACGGCGCAAACAAAACAATTTGCATAGGTTTAGGATTTGTGGTTTAGCACTCTCCCAACGAAGCTCCATTGAGAAATGTTCCAAGAAAAAAACCATCGGCCCGCACGCCACCATGTTTATGATCTACTTGCCCTGAACGTGTGTGGTGCCGTCTAGGGTCAAGTAAATCATGCCAAACTGGAGTTTCTGTTTTTTTGACAAACTCCAGTTTTTGTTTGTTTGTCAAGCAAATCATGACAAACTGTCTGCATAACCTCCAGGGTCAGGCAAATCATGACGAACTGCTTCAGGTTCTGCACAACTTCAGCCATAACGTTCTTG